ACTGGAGAGTGGGTCTGTGTAGAGGCCTTGCCTCCATGGAGATGCTCAGGGTGGGTGTGGCCTCTGGATTTCCTCAGAAAGTCCTCATTCTGTGTTGTGTATGATTTGAGTTTGTTGGGTATGTGTGCATGTGTGTGTGGGTTGTGTGCATCTGTGTGTCTGTGTGGAGTGTGTATTTGTACATTTTCTGGTGATGGAGCCCAGCACAGGCTGTCTGGAGGACTAGGTTTGGCCATGACTAGGCTGCTAACTAGCTGTGTGATTGTGGACAAATCTAACTCCTCTAGACCTCAGGTTCCTCATTTCTTTACTGGAGCTAAAAATTCTTACCCTCTCGACTCTTCTGATACTTACTGAGCCCTGGTGGTGCTTCTCTCCCAAGCCCTTCAGGGAGTCACCTTATGATTTAATTCACATCTCACAGGGGTGTTAGATGTGGCCTTGTCCCCACTGAGTAGTTCTCACTTCCAGAGCCAGGGCCTTGGTCTCCCCTGGGTCTGGGAAGGAGGTGGGGCCTGTCCTCCCAGGGGCAGGTGAAGCAGATCGGGCCCTGGGGTTTGGCAAAAGGGGCTGAGCTGTCTGTCTGTCCCCACCCTGCTGCAGACTGCTGGGTGGGGGTGGGCCTGTGTCATATCCCTCTATTCCCACTTGCTCCTCAGACAAGGGGTTCCTGAGTCACGCTGTTACATGATATTCATGGTCCTTCCCTAGGAGACGCCCAGCCTGTTGCTGCTCCGAGATGCCCATGGGCCTCCCCCTGCTCTCCTCTTCAGCTGCCAGACCGGTGTGGGCAGAACCAACCTGGGCATGGTCCTGGGGACCCTCATCCTATTTCATCACAGCGGGACTGCCTCCAGGCCAGAGTGAGTGGTGTGGGACCCAGTACCCCAAGGAACTGCCCCGGTAGGCCAGGGACATGTTGGGAGGCCAGAGCCAGAGCTGGAATGGGCATTTGGGGTTCATTTCCCGGTTTGCCATAGACTTGCAGGGTGACCTGGAGAAAGTCACTTCACCTTTCTGGGCCTCCGTTTCCCCGGTAGGGAAAATGCCCCTTGCCTCCCCAACCTGATTTGAAAGGAAGGCGTGGAGCCTATGGCCTGGTGCCTCTCAGCAGCCATACGAATGGGAGAGTGTCACAGCAGGGCCATCCTATAGCTGATGCTACCGCCCGCCCCTTCCTTGTCAGGGCTGTCCCTGTGAAGACCAAGCCTCTGCCCATGGAGCAGCTCCAGGTGATCCAGAGCTTCCTCCACACGGTGCCCCAGGGCAGGAAGATGGTGGAGGAGGTGAGCAGGGGGTGGGAAGGAGCTGGGGCAGGGGCAGTGCAGGGAGCGTTCACGCCCCTCACGGGCCGGGTCTCTTCCTCCCCCGACACCCCCTGCTCTCATTCTTGGCCAGTCACTCTCTTTGCCTCCTTCTGTTCTGTCTGCCGCCCTCTTTTTGTCCCTGCTCCCTCCTTGCTGCTGTCCCCTTGTCCCTGTCCTGGTCCCTGGCACCAGGTGGACAGAGCCATCACTGCCTGTGCCGAGTTGCACGACCTGAAGGAAGTGGTCTTGGAAAGCCAGAGGAAGCTGGACCGTGTCCGGCCCGAGAGCCCGGCCCAGGTGAGGAGTGGAGGATGGGGAGCTCCTGCTTTTGCGTGACCCGCAGCAGCCTCATTTCGTTAGGCCTAGTGACTGGCGTCCTGCAGGCTGACTTGTCCTGGTTGCTTCGTCTCCCAGGAGAAGAGCGGTTTTCAGAGGAGGGGAGATAGGGGAGCTGGACGTGCAGGAAGGACGGACCAAGAAGAGGGGAAGTTCACTTTCCCTGACCAGGTCCCCTCTCTGCAGAATAAACAGGATGGAGGAAGGGGCCGCTGGCGGATGCTGAGGCCTCTGGATCCAGATACTTCCCAGGCTGCTCCTGGCTCCCTCCTCCAATAAAAGCGTGGTGTTTCTTCGGGAAGGCCGGGGTTTGGTCCAGCCCGCTGCTTCTGGAAGCGTGATGGGCTCTGGGCTGTCTCAGCAGGCCTGTCCCCACACTTTGGGGAGAGGAGATTGCTTGACAGTGTTTGCAAACAGTGCATGGAAAGAATCTAAGCCTGCGGGGCCTTTTTCTTCTTTAACACTTAAAAACATCTTCTAAAAGCAATATTATATTATGGAAAATTGAGAAACTGGAGAAGGAAACAATTACTCAGAGTCCCAGCATAGCCGCTGCGAGCACTTAGGGCTGACTTCCCTCGTTTTTCATGGTTATGATGTTCTTGTGTAGCCGCCCCGGTACGTAGTTTGCATCCTGCTTATTTCGTTCTGTCTTTCCCCCGTCTGTACCTGGTTGTTGTCACTGAGAATTTTGCCGGCTGTGTAACTTAAGATCATTGCATGGTTCAGCCATCACTGGCGTGATAGGATAAGAACACCATGGCCCAGGTTCCTGTCCTGGCTCTGCCACGTACAGGTGTGTGGATGTGGGCAACCTGCTTAACTGCTCTGTGCCTCATTCCCCCACTTGCAAAATGGGGCCACTGATGATAATGACCCCATAGGGCTGTTGTGAAGAGCAGGTCAGATAAGATCCATATAAAGCACTTAGCAGGGGGCCTGATACAGCAGGTGTTCCCAGCACGTCACTGGCCTTGATTTATTAACAGGCTCCTCTTGTTGGACGGTTGAGCCACTTCCAGTTCCTTCCTTATCCGTGTCAACACTTTTGTGTCAAGCAGCTTCGTGAAAATGAGTCTTTTATGCATTTAGGATTTTCCCCCTTTGTCTGGATTAGGGTCTGGCACTGAGGCCCACAGGCCAAATCCAGCGACCACCTGCTTTGTAAATAAGTTTTACTGGGACATGGTCTGGACTATTCATTATGCACTGTCTTTGGCTCTCTTGTGCTGCAGGGGCGGGGTTGAAATAGAGACTGTGCAGCCTCAAACCTAGAATACTTACTGTTTGGCCTTTTATAGAAATAAAAGTTTGCCGACCTCTGGCCTGGATTCCCAAAGATGGAATTAAACTTAATCAAAGGGTCTGACCTTTCTTTCGGGCCTGTACCCACCTCCCTTACCCTCCGGAGGGTGGTACAGACGCAGCAGGAGAACCCTGATGTCCGAAGGCTGAGGGAGGGACCCTAGGGATTCATACCCTCTCTAACAGCCCTCCACCCAGAGGTGCTGGGCTTGGGTTAGGACACTAGTTTGGGGACCCAGCTCTGTGACTTTGAGCAAGCCATTTCATTTCTCTGAGCCTCAGTTTCCCCTCTGCAAAATAGGGGTAATGATTGTGGCCCCTTGGAGCTGTCATGAGGGCCTTTTGTTTTCTTATAGGGAATCACAGGCTCAGAGAAGTCAGGGCCTCTGGCTCAGGGAAGAGAGTTGATATCCTCGCTTCTTCAGCACAGAGGTGTGCTGCCCTGATGGGTGGTGTTGGAGCATTTGGGGAGNCTCAGGGAAGAGAGTTGATATCCTCGCTTCTTCAGCACAGAGGTGTGCTGCCCTGATGGGTGGTGTTGGAGCATTCGGGGAACCCCACCCTAACTCGGGGCTCTGAACCTGTGGGGGAGGCAGACCCTGCACTGAGAACTGTAGTGCCTGCCCTGTAATCACTGTAGCTCTCCCTACTCCACGGGTTAGATCCTTGGAAGAATTTCCAGCCTGGCAGAACTGTGTTATGAAGGGAGAGGTAGATTGTCTTCTGGGGATTTCTGAGGCTTAACTCCTGCCCTTCCTAGGGTGGGCTGTTTGGCCAGAGCAGCCCCATCCTTACCTTCCTCCCCTCCCTCTCGGTTCCCTCCTCTCAGGAAAGCAGCAGCCAGCACAGTGCCCGGCAGAGGGCGCTTCAGAGCCTGGAGAGATACTTCTACCTGATCCTGTTTAACTACTATCTGCACGAGCAGGTGGCGCAGGGGGATAAGCGGACTCTTGCCTCTTCTCCTGGGGCCCCTCCAGCCTCCCCACCACAATGACAGCCATGGGGTCAACTAGGACCCCCGTAGAACTGGGGAGGAGAGTAAGGGACATGTGTGTTGGTTCCAGAGGAAGGCAGGTGTGGGGGACGCAAGGAGAGACCCAGAGAGTGGGTTGTCCTTGAGTAGGTCAGGCAAAGGGAGGCCCACCTCTCTCCCCTGGGCCCCATCTCTGTATCCTTAGCCTGGGCATCGGGGCCCAGAAAGATCTTGCTTAGGATGTCCTGATCCTTGCTCCCCACCCTCTTTTCCCTGCCCTGGGCCATCATGGGTATCTCTTGGGGCTCCCCACCCTGGGCCAGGCAGGGAGAGTTCAGGGTGGCCCTGCACCCCTGAACTCCCATCTCTCTGCCTCGGGCTGCAGTACCTGCTGGCCTTTGCCCTCAGTTTCAGCCGCTGGTTGTGTGCCCACCCGGAGCTGTACCGCCTGCCTGTGACGCTGAGCTCAGCAGGGCCTGTGGCCCCTGGGGACCTCATCTCCAAGGGCTCCCTGGTGAGTGTGGCTGTCTTTCTGGAGAAGTGGGGATGTGTGGGGGCTGGTCCTTGAGTCCTGCGGGGTTTGGGTAAGCATTGCCCTCACAAGAGGCAAAGGGGGTGACAGCCTGTGGGGTGGTGGAATCTTCTTGCGAGCGTGATGGGGTCATTCTCAGGTCCAAGAAGCAGGTGTAGCTTTGGCCACTGTTCTGGTTCCCTTTCCTCAGTCTCACAACGAAGTGGTCTGGGCAGGGAGTCAGGAGACCTAGTTCTAGAGTCTTTGCCACCAGCTTCTCATCTGGAGAATGGGCACCGTTGGTCTCCTCACCAGGGCAGCGATGAAGCTCTGAGTGTGAAGGGCTGGTCCCACCTTCCATTGCCCTTCTTGGGCTGGCTCTGAACCTCTCAGTGGCTGCTGTCCCATGCTTGCTGCTCTCCCCACAGGGGGCGGACGATCTCATCTCCCCAGACGCACTTAGCACCATCAAAGAGATGGATGTGGCCAACTTCCGGCGAGTGTCTCGAATGCCCATCTATGGCACAGCCCAGCCCAGTGCCAAGGTGATCACCCCAGCGGCCTGGGTCCACTTGTGGGGTGGCGAGAGGGGAGGGTTGAGGCCTTTTGCTGAAGGCCCTCCTGTCCCTCCAGGCCCTGGGGAGTATCCTGGCCTACTTGACTGATGCCAAGAGGAAGCTGCGGCAGGTTGTTTGGGTCAACCTGCGGGAAGAGGCTGTGCTGGAGTGTGATGGGCACACCCACAGCTTGCGGAGGCTGGGGCCCCCCATGACCACTGACCAACTGGAGGTGAGGCCCTTCTGCCTTCTACACTCCCTTACCTTGGAGGCCTTCTGGAGAATTGGCCTGGGAGGGTCTTTAGAAGGTCCCATACTCCTGTTACACAGGTGGGGAAACTGAGGCCCCCAGGAGGGTTTTAGATTTGGCTCAGGTGGTTTATCCACCCAGGGAGTGGATGATTCAAGATTCCTGCTATGGCCACCTTCCTGGTTCTGGGTCTGGTTTATGATCCCTCAGGTTCAGGAAGGGGCAGGCAGGGGTCCAGAATCCAGGGCCGGTCCTGGCCATAGCAGACTCTGGTCTTTCAGGTCTGGCCTGGGGGCTGCCTCAGTGGCCTGTGCCCTCTGTCACATCCTCCCCTAGAACCTGGAGACCCAGCTGAAGGCCCACCTGAGCATGCCTCCCCCAGGCGCAGAGGGCCCACGGACCCACAGGTTCCAGACATGCCTCACCATGCAGGAGGTCTTCAGCCAGCACCGCGGGGCCTGCCCTGGCCTCACCTACCACCGCATCCCGGTGCCAGACTTCTGTGCCCCCCGCGAGGAGGTGAGGGGGCCAGGCAGGCAAGGCCTCTGGGGAGGGAGAGGCGCCTCTGTCCGCTCCCCCGCTGGCCTGGGCCTTGGCCATGGCCACAGCTCTGCTGAGGGACTGGGAGCTTATTCCACAGGGTTTTAGTTTTGGCTCAGCTGGTTTATCCACTTTTTTCAAGCTTGGTATTAGCGTGCACGTGTGTGTGTGTGTGTACATGTGTTTATTGTGTTGTAGATGTGTATGGCGGGGGTGAGCATGTCCACTGTGTCTGTTGGGGGACTGGAGTGGGTGTGGGTGTCATTGTGGAGTGTGTGTATGTGTGTGTTGTGTGTTATTTTAATGGCGTCTGTGTTGTATATCTTACCTTTACTGGGGGACAAGTGTGGAGAGTGTGTCTTTTGGGGAACTGTGTGGTGTGGTATGTCCAGGGTTTGTGGAGGAGGGTGTTGTGGGATGCTGTGTGTGACTGAGGGTATTTGTGTGCATGTGGCATCTGTAGGTTTGTGATGTAAGTGTCTTTGTGTCTGTATGTGTCTGTGTAGTGTGTCTTTAAAGCACGTGGATGCATCGGTGTGGTGTGTGTCTGGCATATATTATGTGAGGGTGGCTGTGTGCCTGTGATACATCCATTGTTTGGGTGCCATGTCCGTGTGGGTCTTCGCAGTGGACGCAGGGCCTATGATACGTTCTGGGTGATAGATGGTGATGGGGCTTAGATTTCCTGTCTCACTTTGCTCTGTGGGTCTGGTTGTCTGTAGTTTGTCACCACCTGGTGGCCGTGTGCTGTAGTGATCCACTGAGGTCGAGACTGCCCTTAGGCTGGGGTCTGGATTGGGTCCATCTAGGGTGGGCAGTAGAACAGGGGGTCCATGCATGTGCGTGTGTGCACATGTGCATGTGCTGCCTGGTGGGCTGTGGGCAACAGGAGCCCCAGGTTTGTGAGTGTGTCTGATCAAATGTCCGGTCCTGGTCCTGGGGTGGAGATCATGCTGTACATGGGGCTATTTACATGCACGTGGCCTTGCGTACTGCAGTGAGTTCAGTGTGTGTATACAGGTTGTGAGCTTGACACGGAGCCTGCATGGGGTGAGCCCTCCCTTTTCGGGGGTGGGCCACCTTGGGAGTCTGTGCAGCCAGGACCACCCACTGACTCAGACCTTGGTCTCCCCATGCAGGATTTTGACCGGCTGCTTGAGGTCCTGCGGGCCGCCCTCGCCAAGGACTTGGGCACCGGCTTTGTGTTCAGCTGCCTCAGTGGCCAGAGCCGGACCACGACGGCCATGGTGGTGGCTGTGCTCGCCTTCTGGCACATCCGAGTATGTGAGGCCTCGTGTGAGGACAGTGGTCTTCCCAGGCAGTGTGGGCCCTTGGTCCCTGGGGATACTGGCTATGCCAGGAGGGTGTGGGGGTAGAGATGATGCCTGGTGTGCCCATCTGGGCAGAGGGCAAATCCTGGGCAGAGGGCAAATGGGGCTGGCAGACCCCTGGCAAGGGGCTCGTGGCAGGAGGGAGAGGTACAGCCCTGGTAGGAGTGCTCCCCACCCCAGCAGCTGCTGTCCCTCAGGGCTTCCCCGAGGTGGTCGAAGAGGAGCTCGTGAGTGTGCCTGATGCCAAATTCACCAAAGGGGAGTTTGAGGTGAGTATGCCCTATAGGGTCCCTGGAGGACACCTGTCTTGCTGGCAGGTCTGGGGGTATTTTCAGAGCTCTTAATGCTGTTGCCTCTTTCACCTCAACACATCAGTACTTCTCTGTTCCCATTTCACAGATGAGCAAACCAAGGCACAGGGCAGCTTGGCCCTTGGCCCTGGGGATGAAGGGCTGGGCCCCCCTCATTCTGCCTAACCGTGTTGCTGGGCTACTGTGCGCCCTGGGGGAGGCTACTGGCCACCATCTGTCTGGGTAGCATTGACAACCCTCTCATAGGCACCTGGGACACAGCTGTGGTTGGTGACCTTGGCGCGGGATGCTAGCCTTCCCAACCCCATCCCCATTTCAGCCCAGGGCACTGGATGGACAGCCACTAACATTGCCGATTTAGTCACCCATGTATTGTATTCCTGCCACATGCCGTCTTCCCAGACACCATGCAAGTAGGTGGCAATGTCTCCCTCTTGCAGGTGGGGAGTGTGGAGCTCAGAGTTGGCCTGGTGTCAGCACTGTGACCAGCCTCGCCACGTTCCCCTCCCTGCTGTCCTGTCACCTGGCTTCCATGCAGGTCCTCAAGCTCACCAAGCACTTTCAGTTTCCGGGCCTTTGCATATGCTGTTCCTTCACCCGAACCTCTTCTCTCTTTCTTTTCCTGGCTGATTCACTGATTCTCTTTTTATTTTTTTGTTGTGGTAAAATACGTATGACATAAAATTTGCCATTCTAACCATTTTTAAGTGCACAGTTCTGTGGCATTAAGTGCCTTCTCACTGTTGCACAACCAGCACCACCATCCAGGACTTCTCACCCCAAACTGACTGTTCGCATTAAACAGTCACGCCCCATTCCTCCCTTCCCCAGCCCCTGGCAACCACTGTTCTCTTTTCTATCTCCATGAATTTGACTATTCTACATACATACTGCATATAAGCAGAATCACTTCTAATATAGTACTTAATAAGTATTTGTCATTTGTGTCCGGTGTATTTCACTTAAGATAATGTCTTCAAGGTTCATTCATGTTGAGCATGTATTAGAATTTCCTTCCTTATAAAGACTGACAAATATTCCATTGTATGCATATACCATATTTTGTTTATGCATCATCTGTTGATGGACACTTCTTTTTTAAGATTTTAAAATTTTTATTGATTTTTAGACAGAAAAGGAGAGGGAGAGAGAGAAACATCAATGTGAGAGTGTGAGAGCAAAACATGATCACTGCCTCCTGCATGCCCCTACCGGGGATTGAGCCCACAACCCGGGTGTGTGCCCTGACCAGGACTTGAACCGGCAGCCTTTTGGTGCGTGGGATGTTGCCCAACCTACTGAGCCGCACCAGCCAGGGCTGATGGACACCTTTTGGCTGTTGTGAATAGTGCTGCTATGAACACGCTGCTGGGTGAACAAATATCTGTTTGAGTCTCTGCTTTCCATTCTATAAGTGGAATTGCTGGGTCATATGGTAATTCTATGTTTAATTTTTGAGGAACTGCCCTATTGTTTTCCACAGTAGCTGCACCATTTTAAATTTCTACCTGCAAAACACAAGGGTTCCAGCTTCTCCACATCCCTGCCAACACTCGGTTTTCTATTTTTTTTTGTAATACCCATCCTAGAGGGTATGAAGTGGTATTGCATTGTGGTTTTGGTTTGCATTTTCCTAATAATTACTGGTGTTGAGCATCTTTTCATGTGCTATTTGGCCACTTGTATATCTTCTTGGAGAAATGTCTCTCCAGTCCTTTGTCTGTTTTTGGTTTGGGTGGTTTTGTTGTTGAGATGTAGGAATTCTTTATATGTTCTAGATATCAATCCCTTATCAGATATGTGATTTGCAAATATTTTCTTCCATTCTGTGGATTGTCTTTTTACACTGTTGATAATGTCTTTTTTTTTTTTAAACATTTAAATTTTAATGTTGAATTTGTCTATCTTTTCTTTTGTTGCCTGTGCATATGGTGTCATAGCCAAGAAGTCATTGTCAAATGCAGAGTCACCAAGGTTTTCCTGTTTTTTTTTCTAAGAGTTTTATAGTTTCAGCTCTTGTATTTAGGTCTTTGATCCATTTGGAATTAATTTTTGTATATGGTGGAGGCGAGGGCTCCAGTTCATTCTTTGGCATGTGGACATCCAGTTCTCCCAGCACCATTTGTTGAAAAGAATGTTCTTTCCCCATTGAATGGCCTTGCGTCCTTGTCAAGAATCACTTGACCATACATTGTAAGGGTTTGTTTCCAAGTCGAATCCTTAGCCTTCGTGTCAGTCCCTCAGATGTGATACTCACCCCCAGCATTTTGCCAAGAGCTGTGCTCACTCGCTTCTTCACCCCTCACGGCCCCCAAGAATTCGGTGTCCTTGCTACTCCCTGTTGACAGATGAGAAAACCGAGGCACAGGGAGCTAAGCTCATCCCTCTAGAGCCGTATCAGAGAGGTGATGGGGCCGGAGTACAAGCCAGGTAGTGGACCTCAGAGCCTGTGTCCCAAAATTACATTATTTGACCTGAAGATGCCTCTATACCCCTGTCCTCACCCATCCTAAGACATTCTCCTGTCCAGACCAGCTTCCTTTGCTACTGGTTTGGGCCTATTGAACCCATAGTCTGGTGGGAAGTATCTAATAGAATAAGAAGAGGGTTGGAATAGACATCGGTTCTGAGGGCTGAGGGTGCAGCTGGAGGAGCCCAGGAGGGCTTCACGGAGGAGGTGACATTAGAATACATTTTAGAAAGATGAGTGAGTTTATGGGTGAGGAAGATTAGTGTGCAGAGGAGATCAAATGTGCAAAAGAGGGGGTCTGGAAAGGGCAGGAGCTGTTTAAGACTGATTGTCAAGAACGAAAGGGACTGGGACTGGGGCTGAGGTGAGGGCACCTAGATCATGGGGACCCTGGAGGGCTACACCATGTGTTTGACCTTGACTTTGAGGCTAGCAGGGAGACAGAGGAGGTCATGATCAGACTCTCATTCTGGGGGCTAGTTGTGTGGAGCAGGGAGTGGAGAGGAGAGGTGGGGCCTGAGTGAGGAGGTGGCTGTGGGACAAGCAGGAGCAGCTCAGTTCTCACTGGTAGGTCGTGGGGCAAGGAAGGCACCCAGGATGAGCTTGGGTTTCTAGCAGGTGGTGGTGACAGCCAAGGAGATGAAGAATTCCTGGGGAGGAGCAATTAAGGGGAGAGGCTTGGAGCTCTATTCATTGAGTTTGAAAAAACTGCAGCTTTCTGCCTTGGGAGCTTCCTGTGGGACACAGTTCTTGACCCTGTGCCCTCCTGGGGGCCTGCCTGTGGTTTGCACTGCTCTCAAGTGAGGTGTAGACCCAGAGCCTGGTATCAGGTAGGGGCGGCAGCCTCTCCCTGTAGCCTGAGCCCGTTAGCAGTCCTCCCAGGCTATGAGTCCTTTCCTCCCACTCTCACCTGTAACTCCACCCCTGCTGGCCTGGGGCCTGTGCTTTCTGAGCAACACTCAGGAGCGGGGACCTAGTTGTGGAGGTGGGGACAATGGGCCCTGTGAGCAAGCAGTGGCCAGATGGAGAGAAGAGTTAGGTCGGGTTTCTGTCCTTTTGTTCAGAGCCCTCCTCAGTGGAAAGGCCTCTCCTGCGGAGCTCAGAAAGGACCGTGCGGGGTGTTGTGGGGGTGCACTGAGAGGCCCCAGGCAGGCATTGCGCTGCTGGGAGGGTTATGAGTGAGGCAGGAGGCAGGTGGGCCAGGGGCCTTGTAGACCTGGGGAATCTCATTTTATGTTGCGTGCAAGGGACCCATGAAGACACTGAAGCTGGGGAGTCTACAAATGGGATGTGCTCCCACTTATATTTTCATAAGCCCTCCCTCAGGGAGGAGGCGGGGCTGCCGCAGTGGGATGGGAGGTGGTGGAAGCCTGGATTGGTGTTGGCCCTGGGGGTGCCTGGTCAACAGATTTTCAGGGAGATCCACAGGGGTGTGGTAGGGAGGGATGACAGGGGAAGAGCCTGCCCTACAGAGTGACCTTCACAGGCCTCAGTTTCCCTAGGAGTAAAGGGGGGCTTATATCAGATGAGTGGTGTCCACCTGAGTTCCCCATAGCTGGATGTCCCCAAAGTGCATGGTGGCCGCTGCGGGGTGAAAGCAGTGGGCCCCAACATAGACTCATCATATACCCCTCCTCACCCCCCCAGCCCGTTACGTGACAGCTATCTGTATTATAGATTAGGGTCTGGATGAGGTTTTGTTTGAAGCAAGGTTTCCGCCTAGAAAAATAAGCACCTTGGGAGCCCTGGCCTCGTGTCCAGGAATCCCCATGCTCCCGACTCCGCCTGAAGCCAGCGGACAGGCTCTGCGGTCGGGGCCTGCGCCTCGAGGCCAGGGGGCCTGGTGCGGGTGCGCCCGCGCTGAGGCGGAGGCCGCACCTGCCAGCTCGGTGTCCTCTCTGCTCAGCCCCCTTCCTCTGGCCCAGGTGGTGATGAAGGTGGTCCAGCTGCTGCCCGACGGGTACCGCGTGAAGAAGGAGGTGGACGCGGCGCTGGACACGGTCAGCGAGACCATGACGCCCATGCACTACCACCTGCGGGAGATCATCATCTGCACCTACCGCCAGGTGAGCCCCTCAACCTGGGCGCACAGCCCAGGGCGTGGCCGCTGTGGCTGGGAGATGGCTGGGGTCCCGCAGGAGCCTCCTCGACTTTCAGTCACTCCTCCGCCTTCTGGAAGTGGAGGTGATCCCCTAAATGGAGACATGCTCGGCCCCAACTCCCCCAGCTTCGTTCTGGAACACTTGGTGGGGTGCTGTTCAGAGGATTCAACAGCTCCTGCAGCCCTGGGACCCAAGTATGTGGCCAGCCAGAACGAAACCCTGTCCCGATTCCCTGTGGTGCCAGGCATCAGCCCTCCAGTTTCTGTCATGGGGCCCTGGGGACAGATGTGGCCACTCTGTGGTCCTGGAGAGTGGCTGTTTGATAACCAGCAGGTCAGCAGTTAATGGCAGATGGTTTCTATAAAAGTCCCGATTTCATGTAAAAATTCAGATTTTCAGCCTATTTAGAAAAATTGTATCCTCTTGGTGGCCATGGTGCCCAGGGCCTGTCACACATGGTCCCCCTGTCCCAGTCATGTAACCTGCCAAGCAGCCCTGGGCATTGGGCTTTGTGGCCTCTGGGCTCTGTGTGGAGCACACTGACCTGCCTAATTCTGTTCTTCTCCAGCCCAGTAAATTTGGTTGGCTGCTGGGGCAGAAGAAGGTGCTGGAGTGGGAAGGGGCAGCTCTGGGGGGAATGAGGGGCTTCAAGAAGACTGTGCCTGAAGTGAGTGGGCATCGCCATGGGTGCCAATCTTGTATTGTCTGCTGCTGGTAGCAATTCCCAAGGACAGCTTTTGCTGTGGCCCCTGCAGGGAAAGGGGCTACTCCAAGCCAGCTTCGTGCTTTGCCTGCATCCGGGCACACCTTGGTGAAATGGCTGATCCAGGCCAGACTTTGCTCAGGGTCATGGCTCAGACCATGACTGGGGCATTGGGTGAGTACTTGACTGGGGGCAGGGCATCTGGGGTCAGGCTATACTCAAGGTCAGAGGTCAGTTGGAAGAGCTGCCAAATGTGGGGTGGTTAAGGAGTTTTAGAAAATGGACTTTATTGAATTTGAAAGATGGACTAGTTTTCCCCAAGGCCCCAGCTAGATTCTCTTTTTGTCTTTTGGGTCTTCATAGTAGTATGGTATGCTGCCACCAGGTGGCAGCCATGAACCAAGAGACTGAGCTCCTCTGGCTTTCAAAGGATACTGAGAGGGTAGAGAATTGAAGCTTCTAGTTCTCTCTGTAGCTGCGAGCTCAAGTGGTTGAAAGGGATGCCTAGTCCTGCTTCAAAGCATCAGAAGTCCCCCATTTCACACTGGCCGCACTCTGTCAGAGTCCTCCCCACATCCCTTTCCTCCCAGCCCTGCTAGCTCTTAAGTGCCTTTAGGCATTCTAGGTATCCCCTCCCACCCTCACCTCCAGAGCTGATAGGCCCCCCTCCTCTGAGCTCTGCAGCCATGGATGTCCATTGTGAGGCACACAGAGGAGTGGAGGAGGGACCACTAAGGGGAGCGAGGAGAGGTCCCACAGAGCTGACCTTGGAACAATCCCAATGTAAATGAGAGCTGGGGAAAGCACTTCAGGCAGGAAGAGCTGCATGGGCAGAAGCCAGGAAGAGGTGCAAAGTAAGTTGAGAGGAAGATGCTTTGGTGCCTATGAGCGCAGTTGTGTTGGACATTGTCAGAGATGAGGCTGGATGGGTAAGTTGCTCTAACTTTGTTGGCAGTGGAGAGGGAAGGGTGGTGGGTTGGGGCTGTGTTTAGCAGTAGATGCGCCTGTTGCCTTTGGGTTGTGGAGTGTTTTAATGAGGAAGCAGGAAGCAGAGTCAGTGGAGGGCCCTCCGCCCTCCCCACCATGCTCACCACCCCCCCATTCCAAAGGCCAGGATGGTGTTGGTGCTGACCTTTGTGTAGTTATTTCTCAGTGTTGCCACCAGGTGGCGTCAGGGAGCTGAATTTGGGCCAAACTCTGAAGAGGCTGAAGAACTTAGGGGCCTGAGATACCTTCTGATGCAGTCCTTCTCACCCAGGCTGAGTAATAGATTCACCTGGGAGCTTTAAAAAGTACCCATTACTGAACTCCATCCCCCGAGAGTCTGATTTCGTTGGTCTGCTAGGGACCAGAGTATGGGTCTTTAAAAAAAATTCCCTAGGTGATTGCAATGTACAGGCAAGGTTGAGAACACCACGTCCTCTAAGCAGGGGTCCCCTACTTTAGTGAGCTTCAGGGTCTCCTGGAGGCTTGTTAAAATGCATGCTGCTGGGCCCCACCCCTGGGGTTTTGATTCTGTGGGGCTGGATGTTTAGCAGACTTCTAGATGGTGCTGGTTCTCCCAGTCAGGCACTGCCCTTGTCAATTTCTGCAGGGAAGCCAGCTGAGGTTTTGGTAGGGATTGCACTGAATGTGTAAATCAGTTTGGGCAGTATTGCCATCTTAACAACAGTCACTTTTCTGATCCATGAACTTGAGACGTTTTTCCATTAATTTAGGTCTTCTTTAATTTCTTACACGATGTTCTGTAGTTCCCAGAGTGTAAGTCTTGCACTTCTTTTGTTAAATTTATTCCTACTTTATTGCATTATGCTACTATAAATAGAATTAATTTTCTTACTTCACTTTTTTGCATGTTCATTGCTATGGTATAGAAATACAATTGATATTTGTATGTTGATCTATCTTACAACCTTGCTAAACTTATTTATTAGTTCTAATACTTGTTTGTTTTAGTGAGTTCCTTAGAATTTTCTATATACAAGATCATGTCACCTACAAATATAGTTTTACTACTTCCTTTCCAATATGGGTGCCATTTATTTATTTATTTTAAAATGTTTGTATTGATTTTAGAGAGAGAGGAAGGAAGAGGGAGAGACAGAGAGAAACACTGATGTGAGAGAGAAACATCAATCCATTGCCTCCCTGGGATTCAGACCTGTAACCTTTTGGTGCTTGGGACGACACTCCAACCAACTGAACCACCCGGCCAGGGCCTGAGTGTTTTTTTTCATGAGTAGATGTTAAATATTTTAAAATACTTTTCTTTGTCTATTGAGATGGTTATATAGTTTTTGCCCTTTATGCTGGTGGTATAGTGTATTATGTTAATTGATTTTTGGATTTTAAACCAACCTACCATTCCTGGAATAAATCCTACGTGGTCATGGCGAGTGATCTTTATTTCTACATTTGGTTTGTTGCGGATTTTTTGCATCAGACTCATAAGAGATATTGATCTGTACTTTTTTTCTTATGATGTCTTTGTCTGGTTGGCATTTGGGTGATATTGGCCTCCTAGAATGTTACTCTTTCACTTTTACAGATGGGGAGACTGAAGTATAGAGAGGAAGGGAGGTTATGACAAATGTATTAGCTAGCTCGGGCTGGCATGACAATACCACAGACCGCATGGCTGGAACAACAGACATTTATTTTCTCACCGTCCTGGAGGCTGAAAAGTCCAAGATCAAGGTTCTGGCTGATGCAATTTCTAGTGAGGGCTCTCATCCTGGCTCAAGAACAGCTGCCCTCACATGGCCTTTCTTTGGAGCATGTGTGTGGACAGAGAGAGGGGAAGGGAGGGAGGGTAGGGCTCCTTGGTGTCTCTTCTTATAAGGACACTAATCTTAGGGATCATCTAATCTTGGACTCCTGGAAGTGCTGTTGGAGAACAAAGAACTGAAAGTGACCTCAGTCCCAGTAGGGATTTCACAGACTGGTTTAAAATGGGGAGGGCCATTCTAGGGTTGCCAGTGTGTAACCTTGTTAAATGTGTCTGCTTTAAAGAAAGGAAGGAAGGCAAGAAAGAAGCAAAAATTTAAAAAAACCCACTTACCATCTAATATGGTTGGGACTTCATAAAGGAAAATATATTTTAGTACCAGAAAAGTAGAGTGGGTGTTATCTCAGACTAGAGGACAGTCCTTGAAAAGATTTATATTTCTGAGTTCCTGTGGACCTGTGAGACTGACCATGGACCTGGATTTGGGAATCACAGCTTTTGGCGACTAGGCCACTGTCTCCTTTAACCAGAAAGGCAGAATGCCTCTGTTGTCTGGCTGGACCCCGAGCCCACGTCCTGCCTAAGGTCAGGGTGATCTGAGCTGTCCCAGCTGCCTCCAGATTAGAAAGGGCATCTGGCCAGCTCAGTGTGTGTGTGTGTGTGTGTGTGTGTGTGTGTACCCTGGGATGGACTTTATTATGGTTGACACGCCTCGGTGTCAATCCCTGCCTAGGGAAGGCAACAGGTGAGATTGTTTCAGGCCAGTTGGCAGAAGGAACATGGATGTGGGGGTTGGAAGGAGCTGGGTTTCGACAGGGCTCTCTCCATTCTCTCTGACCACTGTGTCCCCACCTGGCAGGCTGGACTAATGCTGCTTTCTTGGTGGGGCTGTGTGTGGGAGGGACACAAGGAACTGGAATCCCAGGGCTTGGATGACACACAGTAAGGGCTCAATGCCTGGGAGGGCTCCTAGGATCATTGTAGGACCAGAGTGTCCTGAGATGTGCCTCTGAGTTTCAAAATCCCTGTATAGACCCAAAGATTTTAGTGCTAAAGGACTTAGAGAGCACATGACCCTCTGTTTACAGATGAATGGGAGAACAGGTTTCCCAGGTCCCAGTGTGAGTTGATGGCTGAGCAGGTATCAGAGGCAAAGATCCTCACTCCTGGCCCCAAGCCCCTCCCCTGACCGCATCGCCCCTGACCTGAAGTCCAGTCCATGCTGCCTCATGAGTTGTGGGGCTTGCTGAGGGTCCAGAGGCAGCTGCTCCCTCTGCCACTTCCCTCTGATGGACTGACCCCTCTGGAAATTGGCAGCTGTCTCAACCCTGGTATTTGGCTGTTTATTTGTTAAACCCCTGCCCTCTGGTTTCAAACTGGAAGTCCTCAGGGGACCTCCAGTGGAGCCTGCAGTTGTCCCCTTGGAGCAGGCCCGGGTACCTCCTTGGCCTGGTGGGACCTCTGGGACCACTGGATGGAACTGGACCTGAGCCCAGGCTCGGGTGGGATTTACCACCTACATTGGCTCCATTT